GTATGTATGTATGTATGTATGTATGTATGTATGTATGTATGTATGTATGTATGTATGTATGTATGTATGTATGTATGTAGGTATGTATGTATGTATGTATGTATGTATGTATGTATGTATGTATGTATGTATGTATGTATGTATGTATGTATGTATGTAGGTATGTATGTATGTATGTATTATATATATGTGTATAAATATGCATGTATGTATGTATGTGTGTGTGTCCAGCGCAGCATCTTGGTCTCCGTGACGCTAAGAAGGGCTTAAAGTTTTTTGGTCGCTGGCCAGCACTCAGCGCCGTAAATTGCGATCAGCTGGATGACGGTTCTATAGATCTTGGATTTGAGGCGCTCGGGCATGTTCTTATCGCAGAGCACTCCAGCCATCGAGCGCCACTTCAACCACGCTGCATTTACACGAGAATTCGTTTCAAAGACCAGGCTGCCGTTAGACGCAATTGCTGATCCAACATACTTGAATGTTGTTGTCCGTGTGAGCTCAGCACCATTGATATTGATAGAGCCTGGCTCGCCCGGATCGGTGGTGAAGTACTCATTTTTCTTGACGTTTAACCTAAATCCGAAGATAGCCCGACGGTCGGACCAATTTTGCGCCTATTGTTCGAGCTCGCTTTTGTCTTCGCCTGCGAGCATCACGTCGTCGGCATGAAGAAGCGTCCATGGAGTCGGCTTCTGGAGATCTCTTGTAATGGTATCCATAGCGACAACAAATAGTAGTAGAGGCATCGCAGAGCCTTGATGTACTCAAACGGAGATGGAAAAATCCTCCGATATGATATTCCGTTTGCACTCGGCTTTTTGGACTGGAGTAAAGGATGCGTAACATACTCGATAAGCTCTTCGGGAACGCCGTGCTGCCGTAAGGCAGACCATGTAACGTCACGCGGAACGCGATCGAAAGCCTTCTCCAAGTCTGGGAAGGCAAGATGTATCGGTCTTCGTTTCTCGCGATGCTTTTCTAGGAGAAGGCGAATGGCGTGTAGGGCATCGCTGATGCTACAACCAGCCACGAAACCACACTGGTTAGTGGTCAGCTTGACGATATCACGGATACGGCTGTCTACAATTCGCTCAAAGACTTTCATGCTGTACGAGAGCAAGCGAATTGGACGGGTGCAAGTCCAGTCCTCAGAACTGTCCTTCTTCTTCCAGATAGGAATAGTCGTGCTCCGTTGCCAGCTCTCAGGCACCTTTTTCTCTGCAAGGTCCCGGTCGAAGAATTCCGTCAACCGTCCTGCAGGATTCCAGCCTTTCGATTTCCACAAGTGCGCCGCTAATTCGTCAGGACCACTTGCTTTGCCCGATTCCATCTTCTTCAAAGTCGTAATGGTCTCATTCACGATTAACTTCTGAACGGGACCGTGTCCTGGCGGAGCGCAATGGATGGCTGGATGAGCGAATGCGACAGTTGAGATGTTTTCGAAGTACTCTCGCCATCGTTTCAGTGTTTGCCTGCGGTCCGTCAGGAGGTGACCGCTTTCGTCATTTATGCCGGTGAGCTTCTCTATGTATATCCTCGGTCTGGCGATTGCGGGTCTTTGCGAGCCGGTAAACACCATCGCGAGACTCGAGTTTCTCGTTCATTTCAGCAAAATGAGCTGCCTTTTCAAAAACAACGGCTTTCTCCGCCTCTTTCTTCACTATCTGATAGCGCTGCCAGTTGTCAACCGTCTTTTCGATAAGAAATGCGTGGTACTGCTCTTTCTTCTCACGGACTTTATCCCTGATTTGGTCCGTCCGTGTTTGCCATGTTTGCTTGTCAAGCTTTCGCCGTCCAGGCTTGGTCTTGCCGAGCTTCGCCCGCGCAGCTCGGACTATTGCTTCCGCAGCTCTCTCCCAAGTTTCGTCGACAGTCGTTACCGCTGTGATAGAATGCTGGAGACGACGGCCGCTTCTTTATCCTTCAGTCGCCACCATTTGATCCTCGCTGGCCCACACATTTCTGCTAATTTTGGTTTCGGCGGGATGATCTTTAACGTATAAATCAGTGGTTGGTGTTGTGTTGCGACCGTTTCATGGGGAACAGTCTTCGCATCTGTTACGAGCCCCCGATCGCGGTGCCTGACAAGGACAAATTCAAGTTGTGTTCTGTTCTCTTCGCTATAGAAGTTGATGAAATGAGTGTCACGTTTTTGAAATCTCGTGTTTACAATGGGGAGATTATGTGAGTCTGCCAATTCGAGAATTCGCTCGCCATCAGTGTTACGTGACCCATATCAAAAACCGCCATGACAGCTATAACCGTCTTTCGTAGCGCCCACGTGACCGTTAAGGTCACCCGCGACAACTGTGGCTTCTCATAACGGTACTTCAGCTGTCTTTCCATCGAGCAGGTTCCAGATAGTGCCATTAACATTTTTGATGTGGCCCGGGTGTTCTTAGGCCGACCTGTCACAGGGGCCTGTTGCCTGCATTCGAATGTCCGCAAACAGGTCAGCTCAGGGAGTGAGCATTCCCGGTGGTACCACTTGGAGGAGCGTGCATCACCACCACGAATGGATTTCTCATATGCAGGCGGTCATCTTCTTGCATGCATGAGAATGTTGATTTTCCGGCGCTTTTTCGCATGGCTGGACGACTTAATCACCGACGATGAGAAGTGGGTTCTCAAGATAAGCCACACGAGTAGACTCTAGCGGCTTGGACGCAGGGAGCACGAAGATTCCGACTCGCTGCCACCACAATCCACTGTCGCCGAGGAAGTCTACTATGTTCAGCTGGACCGCGTTGCTGGAGTTTCACAAGTGAAACAGCGGAAAGTCTACTTTCTTCACGTCAATGCTCCCCGACACATTGCGCAAGAGACAGAAATAATTTCGAAGTACAAGATGACATGTTCTGGCACACCCACCTTACTAGATCTGTTCCGACAGATTATCAAGTGCTTTTGTCGCTGATTGAACTATTTGGGAAGAAGGAAGTTCGATTTTGTGGACCAAGTCGAGACGTGCATCGGTGAATTTTTTTCCTCCGAACTCAAGAAATAAATGCATGTTGGATCCACAAGTTGCCTAATAAGTGGCAATACGTTGTTGATAATGACGGTGCATATGTTTGTTATTGTTACTTGTTGTGAAGAAAAAAAAAGAATTCGAAGAAAAAAAATAGCGGAATGTGCAAAGACTTTTTCGACAAACTAATGTACATATGTGTATCTGTGGTTTATATCAGCCGTCCAAAGGATAGTTCTTGTGACCTTGCACGGAACAAAACAAAACACGAAACTATACAAGTTTTATGGCGTAACCACGAAAAACACAAGGAGAATAAACTAAAATATTTGATCAGAAAAGGAAAAAAAGGTTGTCGGGAGCTGACAACGAGGGCGAGGCGTGTTTTGGGGAGGGTGAGCGTCGATGGCGGCCAGGAGGCGTGGTCTCTATGGTGAGGTATGGGATGCGATACTCTAAACAGAATGCCTCAGCTATTTATACCCAAGAAAAACCCGCGAAACTTCCCTCAGGTCCTCTCTCATGAGTAGGTCGGGGTGATCTTGCTGCCCCTCATGATCCTTCTCGACCTACATGGCACGCCTCTTGCGACCCCATGTGGGTCCATCCGACATGCCCTCCCCTCGGGAAGACATCACCCTCGATGTCGGCTTTTCTATTTTCGGCAGCCTCGCCCTTTCTACGCGATATCTTACTGACTCGTACACCTGCTTCGGTAGAGATGTTCCAACATAGTTGCTGTAAAATTGGGCACTTCCTTCTGGCGCCCCTGCTTCTATGAACAATTTTCCATCGAAAATTTTGATGTTTGCCGTGCAGAAGGCTTGCTTATCGTCGAGTTTTCTTAAGGCTTTATCCAAATGTTTCCACATTTCCACCATGCTGAACCACTTATTGTGGTTTCTTGACGTGATCGGTGGCCACTCAAAGATCTCAACTCCTCCGCTCTTCATGAATTCTTTGATCAGTCTGATTAAGTCGTCCAAAGTATTTCCCTTCAAGTTGAGTCCTGAGGCCACACTATTACCCACGTTCTCGAGGATTACCAGTCTTCTGGTATCCTCACCAAGTAGTCGAAACCTTGCACGACTTTTGTGGCTATTCCTCCTCGAATTCCATCTCTCTCCATTGGGTTCGCCCCTTCAAACCGGCGTAGAGTACTGGCCGCTTTTTCGGCTGCTCCTTTTTCACAGATCGCTCTTCAATGTGATTTTTTGAGCGCCTCCGAGTACACATGCGGAACATCCTGGTTCTCGATAATGGAGTGGTCTGCAATCTCATATGAAGTCCGCCCAATCGATGCATCTTGCATAGGCGAACTTCAAAACGATCTTCAACGAGTTCACGTCCCCGCACATGGGTCCCTCTCGGTGAAGTCTAATCTTCTTCCCAACTGTCTTGCCCCCTAAAGATGCTGCATGCCAACCATGCGTTCCACAGGCTTCCGACCTCCTTTACTACTGCGCCGGAGAACGAAACTCCTCCGATGTCTCCCAAAGTAGCTCGTTCCAGGCATCCGTCCGCACACTTGTAGAGCAAATGCCCCTTCTCCAGGGGGCTCAACAGTGATGCTCCACTGAAAGATTCAGTAATTAGTTTGCAACTTCTTACTTGTTTTACAGCCTTTTTTCTACCCTTTTTCCTTCTAGAGGTTTGTGTGTCTATTCGTTCGTCAGAAATACAGTTTCTGCGCATCAACGTTCCAGTTGCCTGAGCGTCGTTACGTTTATTCTGCTCGAGCATTTTCACGCTACAACAACGTACTTTACGAATGATATCTGACACGGAATTCACATTTACTGCAGTTTTATCCGCCTCTTCCTTTCCAAGGCTTTGTACCTTCACTGGTTTTCTTGGACATTCTCTGCCGAAGTGTCCTTGTCTCGCACAAATGAAACACTTCTTGCCAGCCTTTTCCACTGTTCTTCCTCCTTCGTAGCCTTGACCCTCTACGCTTAGTGATGATGGCTGACTTTCTTGCCGTCGCTTTTCGATTCTTGAGGTATCTTCTATCGCGCTGTTCTGAGGCTCATCTTCAGTTCAGTGTGCATAGGTGCTACACCTAGATTTCCACCCTAAGGACCCGGAACCTTTCCTACCAAATATTGCCCATGCCTGTTCTATACCCAGAGCTAATTGCTTGATTTCATCATATGCCCTCTCCAGACTAGCTCGGTTCAGGGCACTCAGTGAATGCACGTACTCGGGCCATTCATACAGGTTTTCTAAAAGAATCTGAGCGTTCTCAAGAGATCTAGCTTCCTCCAATTTGCATTTGTTCGCTTTTCTGCCCAAGTCTTTCAGTACCACACAGGATTCTGCTACACTCTGGCCCGGTCTCATACGCAGAGTTCGCCATTCAGTCAGGGCTCTCATTCTCCCTGCCACGCAGTCATTCGATAGCAGCTTTTCCAAATTCTTGACTACCTCTTCAAATCCCTTGTCCACTACACTAGCTGGTAGCGCTTTCATTGTATTCTTAGCGCGACCCCGAGATGGTTGTCACTTAATATCTCTATCAAGCTCTTGTCATCGGCCACAACCTTAATGTACTTCTGACGAAATTCTTGGATAAATCCGTCGAAGTTCTCATTTGGTTTCCCTTCGAAAACGCCTGGATCTGGATAAGGCAATGACTGAACATAATTCAGTAAGCATATATTTGCATCCTGACCTGCACTGGCCGCTCCCTTTGCCGAGTGATCCACGTGGCATCTCGAGCTGGTCCTTGAACGCACTCCAGTTGGCGGTTCTTCCTCCCTCCGCCTCTCTAACGACAACTCTGTATCGTTATCCGTATCGGTAATTCCACTTTCATGCTTACCCTCGTGGTCGATCCTGCTCTATGACTGTAACCCTAAGGCGGCTTTCTTCAAGCTCTTCACCGTGGGTATCGGCTGAAGTGCACTTACACTCAGTTCATCGCAAAGTTCTGTCAAAATACTTCCGTCTCGTTCCATTGCCTCTATATAGTTTTGCCTTCCTCTCTCATCTCTATTCCCTTCGTGATCAGAGTCTCCTCTACTACAATGTCCAATATGTGGGGAACCCCTTGACGCCCACTTGAAGCCCTCAATTTTCAGACACCTTGTCTAGTTGAGCCTCAGAGCCTCTTCATGTTTGCTCTTATACCGGACCGAAATTTTATGCTCATCCATCTCTTCCCGCTGGGGATTTCCTCAATGCTGATCCTGATTTCCTCTAGTTCACCCACTAAACTCGAGTGTGGGAAACTCACCTCTCCCGACTTTTCTTTCTCCGCTGAATCGACTGCGACCACCTCCATTTCTGTCATGCTCTGCAACAGAGTACCGTACTCTCGTGACTCAATGACACTAATTGCAACGACGAAACCGCGAGAACGAGCAAGAACAGAACGGTAATTTCAATAATTTTTTGTGCTGTTCCCTCCAGACCACCTTGGCTTACGGTGACGGCAGCACGAACTCAAACTCTCTCGGTTACAGTGGCCCTCTCCACTTCAATTTACTGGATTGCCCTTACTCTCGGCAACAACCACTTCCATAGTAGGCGAACGACTGCTCTGGCTAGCCAGTGCTCACTTTTTTTTTCTGTGCTCGACCCAGTTTCTATTGGAGCGGTTCGGCCCCCATGTGTTTATATCTGCCGTCCAAAGGATAGTTCTTGTGACCTTGCACGGAACAAAACGCGAAACTATACAAGTTTTATGGCGTAACCACAAAAAACAGTGACAAGGAGAATGAACTAAAATATTTGATCAGGAAAAGGACAAAAAGGTTGTCGCGAGCTGACAACGAGGGCGAGGCGTGTTTTGGGGAGGGCGAGCGTCAGTGGCAGCCAGCAGGCGTGGTCTCTGGTGAGGTATGGGATCCGGTACTCTAAACAGATACCTCAGCTATATTTATCCGCAAAACTTCCCTCAGGTCCTCTCTCATGAGTAGGCCGCGGGTGAACTTGCTCTCCCTCATGATCCATCTTGACCAACATGGCACGCCTCTTGCGACCCCATGTGGGTCCATCTGACACATCTACATTTATGTGTATGTACATGTTTACATACATCGAATATATATATCTATATATATGTAACACATACATATGTATATACAGATATAATCGATTGTTCGGAAATGCGATCTTTCAGCATTCGACCACCTTCTGCCACCCATCTAGTAATTTCAGGTTCCTCCCTCATAGAAACTTTTCTTTTTCGGCTAGAAACCGGGCTACAATATATTCGATACCTTGTCTCTTGAGCTGTTTTGAGCCCTTTCTAAATTCGCAACTTTATACAGCTTACGTTTCAGCCTCTTCGCCTTCTTCATAGCTTGAAAGCCGAAAAACACATTGGAATTGATCCTCACGTAGGCCATCACCTCCCTGGCCTTATCGTAACTTAAAATTTGGATAGGTCGAGGAAGGGCGCGAGGTCACGGGTAATGGCCACACACTCTTCCTTTCTATTAGTTTGTGGATTCCTAGTAGCAATCCAAAACGCCTCGAGTGTTTTCCGCGCAGGGGTGTCCGCTTCTATTGCCGAGATGGCTACCGAAATTTCGAACTCGCTACCATCATGGCACTCAGTTGGATGCATTCCTAAAGGTGTTTGCATGTGAGATCTTCTTAGGCCCTCCAGATGTTCCCTGATTCGCGTACGAAGGGGGCACCCTGTTTCACCTATATACTCAGCATCGCAGGCCTGGCATCGAATTTGGTAAATGACCCCAACTTTCATGCAGTCACTCCTTTGATTGAAAGGAAACACAATGCAATCTGGGGTGTCACACAGACTATCGTAAAGGCGATTGTGGATCAACTTGCGGCTAAGGTTTCCTGGGGGTATTTTCGCAACCCTGACTTCTTCTTGTAGATCACACCTGTCACACAGGCTCGAATTGCTCTGCTCATCTCTTCGGAGATGAATGGCAAACAAAGGACTGCCTTATTGACAGATGTTTGTAGGCGAAGTCTGCGATGTGCGGAATGTCCCCCACGGTGTGATACCTGGTAGGAGCCAGGATACCCATTAGACCGCGCGACTTTTCGAGCCATGTCCAACGATTCTGTCATAAGATCAGTATCAGAAGAAACCCTGCTGGCACTCTGAACATATTTCTGATGACAGACTGTTTTGTTCTTAGGGGTGGGCCGAGCGGCAGTGAATAAGGATACTCTTACAACTAGGCTTGCGGTACCGCCTGGTCCGCACTGTACCCCTAGATAGTTGGACTTGGATATTGAGGAATGGTAACCAGTTCTCTGTTGGTCTTTCTGTGAACTTGATCTGATCTGCCTGTTTATTGAGAATGTCAAAACATATGCCCATCTCTTCTTGAGTGGAACATAATGATCAGACAATCATCAATATAGCGGGTGTAGAGAACTGGCCTGCGGTCTAGGATAGGTTCCTCAACTTTTGACATGTAGGCTATTGCCAATACCGGTGCTAGCCGTTGGCCCATAGCCAAACCCCTGATCTGTTTATAGTATACGCCCGACCACCTGAAAAACGAGCAGATTGAGCACTCTTTCAAGACATCTCCGGCAAAGGTTTTCTCATTCGAAGTGTTCCGCAACAACTGAATTAAGGGGTATTTGGATGGCGCAAAATTAGGGCTATATATTTAGTTGACGTTGCACTAATTTTTTGTCAAGCTCAAGCACGTCACCAAAAATGTATGCAGTCTCGTTTGACAAAGGGATGATACTTGTTTAGCATTGGCCGTTCAAGACGAGATGTATACTGCCTTAGATGGTTTCGAAGCTGTTCTCAAATCTGTGTTCCAAATCTGCTCAACGATTCAGGGAACCAAATTGCAGAACCGTTTCCTCTGTGTGTGAAACCACTGAACCGAACAGACAAACGAACCGGGCAAAGCCGTAGCTCTGCAGCGGTGGTGCAGCTGGTAGGAAGGTCGACAGGTAGGCACGACGTCAAGTTTCGCGTCCTTGCTGCATGCGCTCGTTTTGCTATTCCGTGAGATGTGTCCTAAACGCTTGCGAACGTTTTTGGGCGATCTATGGAGCTCCCTCGCATTCTAGGAACACTAAAAAGGCATTAGAAGAGAAGTTTTCCTCGCCTCAAATCGGTCGTATAATATCAATAATCGAGCAAAAAAAACCTTCTAAACAGTTATTGAAATTGGGCTTCAGAGGCTCAAGCAGGGATGGTCCAGTGGATAATTGTGTAGACACATAACTGCACTTGAGAAGACCACGAGTTCGATCCCTGCCAAGTTGAAATCATGCCTTGCAAAAATGGTATCGCTACCAGCGTCAGGCTCAGGTTGACAGGTACGCAGGAGAATGGTGAAGAAACTCAGCCACAGAAATTATGTCAAAAGTCTCTATGGAAATCATTGATAAAGCTAGGTCGCCACCTGCAAGTGGCGCACAGGCGCCTGAGCCCTGTAGACAGTATGTGAGGGGTGCCGAGAAGTGAACGACCTCGGCCAAAGAATTAGTTCGAATTGGGACTTTAATTGTGGCATCGCTTACTTCGAAGTCCCGAGAGATCGCCGTTTTGATAAAGCGCAGGAACATCCAAGTCCTTTGCCTTTTTGGGATTTATTTGTTTTCCGTAAAAAGGATGGAAGGCGCGGGCAGATCCTTTGGCGTCAACCGTTCCCGTTTTCGGGATTCCACAGTTGGCTCCCATTGAAAGGCTGAAAGCGGTCAAGGATGACTCGATAGGCTTATTCGATTGCGATTCCGTGAAATCTTCTCATGTTTTATGTTCGTTGTTCGTTGTGTTGTTTTATGTTGTGTTCGTGCTTCCAGGAAAGATCTTACAGGAATGGGTGCGGTAGAATTGGAATGCACTACAGTGACGATACGGCTTGTTGTTGTTATTGGTGTGTATGTTTCGCGGTTGGAAAGTTGTCTGAAGGGATATTTTACTGGAAGATGAAATTTTGGAACTAGAAATACCGCATCAAATGTAGTGAGAACAGTAGTGCTCAGGATTCAGATAATGGCACAGAAAGGAAGGAGTTCTTCGCAAGCTTGGCGATCAGACCAGTGTACAGTACATTCTTTGCGAGTGATGCGTGTCTGACAACTATAGGGATGATATTGATCCCTCATATGTGGTGGTGAGCTACGTCCTGAACATGTGGACGTCGTTTGTTGTATGGTCTATTGATGGTGACACGCCCAACCCATAATCGGCACTTTGCACCTATTTCGGATTTGTGAACCAACAGCGACCATATTTCTGCTCCTTTCTACGCTTCACTCATCCACTATGGTTCACTCTCGTCTTCACCTAGAAAGGCAGTTTGCTCACCTCACTTACAGAGGAGGGATACTTGGTCGCAATAGCCATCGATATGTAGCGGTTTCGAACTCTGATCTCAAATCTGCGTTCCGAATCTGCTGAAGATTTTGGAAACGAATTACGGAACTGATTGCACCTGTGTTATACATTGTACGAGCCAATAACCGAACCGAGCGAATACATCGTAATGGTGGCGCAACTGGTAGGGTGGTGGACCTGAAGGCATGACACGAAGCTTCGTATACTTGATGTACACGCTCGTTTTGTCTGATAACGAAATGCGTTCAAACGCTCACAAACTTTCTTGGAACTATTATTAATTCTCTACGGAGCTCCCTCACATTTTAGAAATACCGAAAATACATTTAATGTGAAGTTTTTCTTGCCCTCCACCGGGCGAATTAAGGTGGAGCTCTACTCAAGTGATAGAAGTTTCAAACGTGTGCTTGAAAAGTGTTTCAAAGGCTTCAAGGAAAAATGTGTTAAACGATTCATTGTATCAAAACGCTCTCCAACGTGTTACCAGCGAATTAGTCTGCCCAAAGGTGGTGTGATCGTACTTGATGGAGGGCTTTTGTTCTTGCGAAATAACGTGAGCACCATATAGGAATTAAGGGGAAGTAATAAAGAGCCTATTTAAGCTAGCCTGTTATCGACTGCGATAGGGACGAACCGGGAAAGGCGATCCAATGATCCACTGCGGTCGCCAGATGATAACAACGATGAGGGATCCATCACATCGCGAGAGAAATCTCGTATTTTTTTGGGGATATAGGAGCTTTAAGAAGAAAGGTTGCATGCAGCTTTGTGATTTTGCCCATGAACTTCAATTTTTTGTGCAGGTAGAAGAATCCATAGCATTTAAAGTACGAATGCCAAATCAAGCCACACTCTCTTGTGCGTGGAGAACATGTTTTCTTTGTGCATAAAGAACACGTTTTGCTTCATCACAGTGTCGTCCGCGGAAATTGAGGAAGAGTAAGAGAGACATTGAGCTCATAAATTAGTCTATTCTTGACAAATTATGTGTTGTGTGGTTGCATCTGCCAGCGGTGGTCAGTGTCATTGCACAGCACTGATTTCCATTGGGTAGCGCTGAAAATCAACAGTGAAGGTGTCATAGGGGATGAACTTCAAAGCAACTCATGGATTCAGCGTTATGAGCATAGCCGTGGTATCGGGTCCTACCGCATCACCAAGTTTACCTCAACAAAGGGTTTCTTGACATTACTAGTGCTTCTGTGCCAAAAAAGTTTGTCTAATAGTGGAACATTAATTCGCCTGACGTTTCGACCAATTCGTCGTAATCGAAAGCCTCAATGTGTTTCGGAACTCTAGAGTGTTACCTATCACGTTTGACGGAGACCAGCTCTTAACTAGGTGCAACCGATTGACTTCCAATTAAGTAGAAATCCCAATAAGTCATTCACGTCGATTCCACCAACACCAAACTGTTGCTCAACTTCACGCAGGATAGACAGCCCGTTCAACCACAACTCATTTATAGTATCGTGACGTGACATATATCAGTCTCCACTATCAAAGCTCACACAGGGGGATGTAGGGCAAGAGGTCACCATTTATGTTTATGCACCTATTCGTTTTTCATGCATGGATTTCGGTGCCTTATCCAGAAAGCCTCTAGAGTTTCTCTGTTTCCGAAGGCGAAAATTGTGCAATTAACGTGAAGGTCACAATCAGCATGACCTTCTTTACTGTGCTTTCCAAGCGGTGCAATAGAACGATTTCTTCGCTTGCTAGCTAAATGTTCTTTACCGTGAACGCAAAACTGTTTCTCCCAGTTTCTCCAATGTAGCAAGCATCACATATTAAAGACTGAAGCTGGTAAATTACAGTTTTTTGTGCACAGTCTCCTACTTTTCCATACGGGCAGATCACGCAGTTATCCATGATGCTAGTCCGGTCATGGAGACGATTTCCAGCCAATGGTGTTTAATGCTGTTTGGTGTATTGACCAAGAAAATGTTATTGGCTAGATTCGCTCTTTTCAGACATTGCTGTATAACTGCATGAATCGATCTGATATAAATGTTAATTGAACACCACACCCCAGAGTTACATGAGTACATTACGGAACATGTAAAAAGAGGTGTGCACCGGTAACGAGGAGCGGAAGAGGACAGAAGGTTAGCGCACCAAGTAGCTAATCCTAATGGATACAGAGCTCTGCAGCATGGCGCACGAAGCAGATCAAGGCCTCTTCCATGTGGAACTGAAGGTAAGATGTATCTTCAATTACCACTTATAACAGATCTATTCAGCGCAGTTATACAGCAATGTCTGGAAAAAGATATCTGGTCGATGCCTTTCTTGGTGAACACACCAAGAGACAACTTTAAGCACAAGTTGGTTAGAAATCGTCTCTTCAACCGAATTTGCATTGTGGGTAAGAGCGTGACCTGCCCGTATTAAAAAGTAGGAAGAGCTGTGGTTTACCAGCTTCAGTCTTTGACATGTGATGCTTGCTATAAATGAGAAACCGGGAGACAGTTATGTGTTCGTGTGAAAGAACATCTAGCTAGCAAGGTAAGGAGTCGCTCGAATTTGCCGCTTGGAGAGCACAGAAAAGAAGGTCATGCTGGCTGTGAGGTCGACGTTAACTGCACGACTTTTGTTTTCGAAAGTAGTTATAGTGCCCACGAGAACAAAAAACTCTAAGGACTTTCTAAATGAGACACCGAAATCCATGTATGAATAACAAGAATGAGTGCATCAGCTTAAATGGTGACCTCCTGCCCTACATCACTCTGGGTGAGCTTTAATATTGGAGACTGATACGGTCACCTCACGATACTATTAGTAGGTCGTGGTTGACCGGGCTGCCTCAGTTGCTCTATCGTCACTAAAGTTGAGCAACTGCACGATATTCGTGGAAGTGACGTGAATGACTTGTTGGAATTTCTACCTAGTCGGAAGTTAATAGGTCTTAATGTGAATAGTGAAGAACTGCTTTTCGTCAAGCGCCCTGAACGATTTCATTGATAACGACGAATTGGTCAAAACGTCGGGTAAATGAATGTTCCATCATTTAAAAACCTGTTGGGCACAAGAGCGTTGACTAATAACAAAACAGATGCCCAGGTTGTAAGAAAGGCAAACATGAAGGCTCCTTGACAATTAGTAACGACAATCCTTGACAACCATCATAAGCGCACATAAATCGATCAACTGTTGTTCCACAGTATTTGTTCAAAAATGTCAGATATCCTTTACCAGCGCTTCGCAATTGGGAACAGTATTACTCTAGTCAGGACAGTGTTCTCTCCAGAGAGGGCTCTGGTGAGATTAGAAATTCCACCGCCCTCTGCGGTATGAAAACTGCCGAAGTCGAAACGCTGTCTTGATTGTGCTGGGTAGAAGGGCATATCTATTTGGTCAGTTATGGTGAAGAAAATTTTTCATGGGATCACTATTCTCCGAGAACGTAAAATGTGAGGGATTCCAGTAGAGGAAGCATTAAGGGAAAAGAAGAACGAGCGCATGCATCGAGACCTTAAACTTCATGTCATGCCTACAGGTCCACCACCCTACTAGCTGCGCCACCATCGCACAGCGCGAGTTATAAAACTCTTAAAGGGCGCTTCTACTTCTAAAAAAACTTTCTTCCCGTCCAACAGCGCTTTTCATTTTCTGCGAGCGTAGTGGTTTGTTCTTCTGCACTTCGCTCTCAAAACCAACTTTTCAAGATTGGACTTCAAATTCCTTTAAAACTTTCGTCGAATAGCTTTCTTATTTAGAGTGATGTACCCCGTGGGGGCTTCCCTCTCCAGTCTGGGAGGGTACTGTAAACTGGACGGGTCCAACACATTTGCTTGCTTTGAGTAAACCACAGCTAATTGCGCTTTTACATTTCCCTTTACCAATATCCTTTCTTCTAGACTGTTTTCTAAAATTTATTTTTGTACTTTTTAGATCGTGGAGACGTTATTAAGGAATGCTACACGCCTGTTCGGATGTCCTGTGGTAGCTGTTCACGGTGGCAGTGATGGTGCGTCCAACTACCAACAGAACTCATCCCGAAGTCTTTCAATTGATACCAACACACCACCGAAGACGGTGCAAATGAAGGAGAGGTATGTTTTACCATTGTCTCTGGTGCTTTACACCTCCAACGATGTGCCAACCGCAGACTGGAACTTGGTAGTGTGTTGCCATTGGAAAGGTCTCTTAGTCGTAGGCCAAAAGAACGTGCACCTTGCCAGCCGTACTTGCAACCGAAAACTAGTGAGTAGTCGCTAGTTTCTAAATATGTGAAAGTCTTTCTTCATATCTGCCCCATAAATAAACACTAATCAGCAGCTGTATTTTTAGGCTTGCTTGTTGATCTTAGTGACGAAGATACTAATGCGGAGTTGGCGCTCACTTCAACATCAGCAGTGAATGACTCTAGTTACACTCAGAGTAATTTTTGTGTACACATTGAAAGACAAAAAGTTCACCATAGCTTTTTTCTCATTCTAATGATTGTTCTGGGCTCTGAGGAAACTTGCAATACTTGCTCAGTTTCAAAGCAATGAAAATCTGTGTTTTCTACTATAACGGACCTACGTTTTAATACCGAAGTTTCACAGTGGTATGATCGTATATCCAGAGATAAATGATATATCTACCACTTATATGACATTGAACCTTCATTCCAATGCTTACTTAGGATCTTAGAAAATCCCCGCTTTATGGCTCGTAATGACGCATTTAGAATGATAGATGCATCCTCTCTGCGCGAATAGGGTCTACTGTATGATGTTTCAGGCCATTTTTTGATGTCATCACAAGTGAGCGGGTCGTTTCGACCTTCGTCCACGCCAAGTCAAGATCCTGATGATTCGTTTGATGAACATCCGTATGAATCCCTCCTTAGTGATATACCACGAAGCCCAGGCGAAATGATAACGTCATCGTTCAATGTTCCTCAGCGGCCTCCGCCACCTGTAGGTTCTCGAGCCCTCGCGTATAAAATGGTATTACTCAAAACGTGCATAAAGCGCTTTATTGTAGGTGTTCCAATCAGAAGCCGATAACAGTCGTAGCTTATCGTGCAAGAAAGCAATCGAGGCAGAGCCCATCCCCATTCCTCGAACTCGTCCTTCTCATTCAGTTATGGTTAAGAGTTCATCTTCTCTCAATGGGTGAGGTTTCATTGAAAGACCAACTATACATAGTCGACTAGACTTTGCCGGGCCCGAAATGTCTAATAGGCAAGTCATCATCAATGAGTATTGTTGTCATTATTCGTTCTTCTTTCTTTACTGTTCTGCAAAGTTTTCAAATAAGAATTTGCAAAGAATCGTGAGAAGCAGATGATAGAATCGGTACGCAAACATCTTCTTTACGATCGGCCTCTCTCCTTCTACTGACCCACCTTTTCGGGTTTTATAATGTCTATTACGACTTTAACTGCATTCCTCGGTGCACTTCCATCTACTATAAGCTTTTTCCCTCCCTCCCTGTCAGTTTACCGGAAGTCCAGGACCTTTCTGATTGGATTTGTGATCACTGATTTCAGCTCATTCCACTGGTTGCACATCCCCCTCCTTGCCTTGTACACTTGCTTCTCCTCCCTTGGAAAAATTCATTTTCTGCCTGCAATACTGCTACTGATTCGTGGTCAACAAACGGTTTGCAAAAGACTAATCCGTCAGTTGGCCGTCGCGTGATGTAGATGAAGGAGAGTGAAGGTTGAGCCACGAGACGTAAATCTTGGGCAGCGCATGTCGTGCAATATTGCTGCTAATTCGTGGATCAACCGACGGTTTGCGACAGATTGATCATTTTGCGACAGATGAATCCGTGGCAAACCGTCGCTTCGCCATAACTTTTCTTGATATGTGCCAATCAAGTTGAAAGTAAGATCAGCGAAGCTCTGCCGGCGAAGAATCCAGGCAAATGGGAAAATCCCGATTATCCTAACTTTTTTTGCATTCATTCCCAGGAAAAATGAAATTGAGCCTCTCAGCACCTATGATGTTGCTTGCGGATATAATGGCATCGTGAACCCTCCACTTCAATTGGGAATTGAGGGATCATCGTTCCAATTTTTTCAAAGGCATGAATGGCAATATATTTGAGAAGAGCATAGATTTCTGATCATTTTAATATCCTTCATGACAGAATATAAACACTTTGGAAGTGGAAGCAGTGCTTCACATTACCACTTTTTCAGAAGTTTGCTTCTTCTTCTTTCCAGGTATGTAGTTTGTATGAAGGCCGTCTGATAGTAGCGTTAACTAGAGGTCCAGGTTTAAATAAATTAACGGGTTTCATTTGAATTTTTTAGTCCTATTTCCACTGAAGTGCAAGATTAAGTTTTCAAGAGTCCATTATGTTACCTGCGGGCATTTTTGCATCGTAAGCCATTTCTCAAACTGGAACCTTGTTATCAGTCTGTGATAGGCATGCATATCACTACACATTGTAGGAGAGCATGGAATATAACTGTTTTGATGCCCTTCATTAAAGATTTCCAACAATTTCAACTGAAAACGGTGATTTATATAACCCAATTCTCCAGCCTTGATCATTTCACGGTTCAAATCAAAATTTTGGTCATCTGGGTTGCGAATCCAAATAGGGTGTTTTTTAATTAACGAAAAATCTGAATGATTAATTAGAGTTGCCTATTCATTGTATGCCATGTGAGACCGAAGTTAGATGGGATTTGGTAGAATCGTGATTTGGTAGAACGCCTGTAGTACGTATTGCCTTACAATAATTGTTATGACTTCTCATGGAACTATGTAAAACTTTGAAGGTATTTAGATGGATGGTTCACCTAATTACCTTGAGTTGGTCAACCTCTCACCATCGATCTCCAATGAGTCATAACCTTCGCTACTTCCGCGTCTGATCAGTAGCACGCCTTATGCCAGATAATATTTATTATGCAGAAATCTTTTTTCAATGACTAAGTTCGATACGCTCACGACAGATTTCTGATTAAAATTCTTTCTACTACAGCTCTCCACTTCAGATATTAGTTTTAGTTTCATTATTGTGGGAGCCAGAAAATCAGGATGTTTGAAGATATCGAGAAGAACCGATTATTTTACCCTAAAATTCCATAGATAAGAGCGGATGAACCTACCGGTGAAAAATGAATTGGAAAAAATCGAAATTGAATGCAGTCACCCCTCNGAGGGGTGACTGCATTCAATTTCGATTTTTTCCAATTCATTTTTCACCGGTAGGTTCACCCGCTCTTATCTATGGAATTTTAGGGTAATACATTTTTTAAAGGAGTTCAGGCAAAGCAGCTTGAGAATGAGATCTTGTTGATTATTCTCTCAAACATTTCTGTTTTTCAAGGAGATTTAGTCACCATTAGCTAAGTTGAAATGCTGTTGGCCTTCTGTTGAGAATCATGTTGGACTCAATCTCTGGGAGTGAGGATACCGTTTTCATATCGAATCAAAATTTGAAATATATATATATATTTATTTATTTATTTTTATATGGTTGATGCATAATTATTGCGGATTTTTTTGCGGTTTTTTTCTCTTGATAGAATTTGAATATTGAGTTCGGGTTTCCTCTAGAAATGATCTACTTGATTTCCTCTACAACAATGTACCTACAAAACCATCCGCATATTCGCGAAATTGGGCTCTACTACTCCGAGAAAGGTTGGAAGGTGGCAGAGTCATTCCGCGATCTCAGTAACCTTTCGGCGATTCAACAACCGGCCAAAACCAACCAAGAAATGAGATCTGCTCCTAAATCTGCTATATTTACCAGCAGGAACTTGCATGGATAATCTCATCGACCGTTCGCTGAAAAAATGGCTAGGGAATAGAACTTACGTCGATTTGGATGACTTGATGTTGTCAAGGCGTGAATCGCCCCCAAGGATCGAATTTTCTTCGCTTTCGGAATCCGACTATCTAGCCAATGGGAAGCAGTGCTTGATGTAGATGGTGGATAAGTTCCGGAGTAATTATTTAAACATGATTTTGTTCAGTATTTTCATCGTTTCGTTGAATAAAACCAAATGAAAAAATTCGCAATAATTATGCATCAACTAATATATACAGTAGCGCTCAAAAGTCTTCGGTAAAATGCTTTGACGCTTTTTTGTTCCTAACGTTTTTCCTCATGGAGCAAGTTGTGTGAAATTCTGATATGTTTAACCATAGCGTATTTCATCCTACCCAACACTATTTGACTACGAAGCTGCAATATCCACAGACAGAGCAAGGTGTTTGTTGCGGTAGCAGATTTAGCTAAAAGTAAAGTTGTTGACGTCCGCAGTTATTCGCACCTCACGTGCGTTTTTCTCATCTGCTGTGTTCGACATTACCGCTCGTACAATTTAGACATGGCAAAAAGGAAGAGATTCTAGAAGGACCATCATCTGTATTTTCAGTCGATTTTGAGTTCATGCTCTTTGGAATATCTGGAACATGATCAGATTGCAGGTCAGTAGTGGTAAATATTCGCAATACACCCACGCTCCAAATATAGAAATTTCGCATGTTTAGATCCAGTAGGAAAGGTGTTACGACTGAAAAGTACGGCTGAAGAACCATTCAAGTGAAGACTTTTGAGCGCTTCTGTATATACAAACATATACAGGGTTTGCCAAATTACTTGCTCAAGGTTGCAGAGTTCGATCTATTGTTTTAATGCAGCGATGATCTATCGATTAGTTGCGATCATGTTAGGGCATTCTTCCTTTATCGAGAACACAAGCTTCGATCCTCAGCTCTTATTTCTTTCAAAATGGTTGGACCTCATCCGCTCAGACCCGCGACTTTCAGTTACACCAGATGGGTCGCTGTTCCAAAACCATCGCAAAGCCACCATCAATCAGCAGAACTGTAGACCCACCATCGAACGATTCAAGGGGATCGGTACTACAGAAAACCGACCAGGAGGGGGAAGAACAATTGCAACTCTACGAGAAAGGTTGAAGTTGTACGGGATATGATGTGGCGCAATCCGAAGAAGTCGATAAGGAAGATTGCCAAAAAGCTGGGAGTAGGTCATAGTTCCACTCGCCGTGTAGTCATCGAGAAGCTGGGATTGACACCTTATCGATGCCGAAAGGTGCACCTCCTCACTGCATCCATGAAGAAAAACCGGATCCAGAAGTGCAAGACGCTCCTCCTACGGTTCGCGTCGAAGCACCACCGAGACATTGTCTTCTCACGTTGGAGTCAGCCTTCAACCGTCAAAACGATCAAGTGCTCTGCTCGACAGCTGAAGAAGCTAACGAGAGGGAAGAATTCTTGGACGCTCTGGACATGCAGAAGAAATCATGGTTTATGCAGCGATCACCTTCAAAGCGAAGTCCCCGCTGGTTTTCATCGACAACGATGTTGAAATCAATAAAGAAGTGCACTTAGAGAGCGTGCTGAAAAACATCTTCCTTTCGTGGACAAAATATCGCTTCGGCTATAGACCGTATTCCAACAAACTTCAGCACCGGCTCATAGAGCGAGGGTGACCCAGCAGTGGTGCCGAGACACCCTCCCAGGATTTATTAAGGCTCAGGAATGGCCATCTAATTGCCCTGATCTGAATCCAATGGGTTATTCCGTATGGTCGCTATTGGAGAGCAAGGCCTGCTTCAAGCAACACCACTCAATTGATTCGCTGATGAGGGACCTGCTCAGAACATGGGAATAAATACCTTTGGAATACCTTCGTACCTACCTACTCTGTGTGTAATGCCTTAATATAAATAAAGTGTTGTAGAAAAATTGGTCCTCAATCTATCGATTAACCCATTTTACAGCGGGGGATATTTGAGCAAGTAATTTTGGCGCACCCCGTATGTGTATATATCCTTATTGTATATAATCCACAAGTTTGGTGTTTCTGTATGTGTATGTTTGTATGTTCAACGGTAAATTCAGTATTTCCCGAAAAACACTTTGGAGGTCGGGACAAGAGATAAGATCAACAGAGCTCATATGAGCTCTGCGGAGCTCCATCCACAAGGGGCGGGGCGGTGCTTCACTTTTTTTACTTTTCTTTACTTTTTTACTTTTTAGATGAATTCATAACTCGAATCAACATAGGCGCGGAGGCATACGTGCTGGGCATGCGTAACTTTGGCGAAGCTCCGTCTGCAATGGGCGGGGCATGCATTCAAATAAAAGATACTTTTTAAAACTAAATGTGACTTTGTT